AAGCCAAAAAAATTTTTAAGGACCCTAGATAAGGGGTTAGATAAAAAGGGCCTAGATGAGCCTAGATAAGGACCCAAAGAAAGGGAACCTAGAAAACAAGCCTAGTAAGGGTCTAGATAATGAGCCTAGCTATGGGAATAGATATGAAGTCTTGATAAGGAGCCTAGAAAATGAGCCTAGACAAGAAGCCTATACAAGGAGCCTAGATAAGGAACCTAGATATGGAACCTAGATAAGAAATCTTGATGTGGAGCCTAGATAAAGAGCCTAAATGAGGTGTCTAGATAAGAAACTTAGATAAGGAACATAGATAAGGAGCCTACACATGGAGTCTAGATAAGGAGCCTAAAAAACGAGTCTAGATAAGAAGCCTAGATAAGCAACATAGATAAGGAGCCTAGACAAAGAGCCTAGATAAGGAACTTAGATAAGAAGCCTAGACAAGGAGATTAGATATGTCTAGATAAGGAGCCTGGATAAGGAGCCAAGATAGGGAGCCTAGATAAGAAGCCTAGACAAGGAGCCTAGGTAAAGAGTCTTCATTTAGAGCTCAGATTAGGAGTCTAAATAAGGAATTTTGATAAGGAGTCTGGATAAGCTAAAATACAGTGCTTAGAAGAGGAACTGAGAAATCGGAAACAGCTTAATGGGAAAAATAACAGCACCGACATAACATAAGGAACTTCTGCATCAGGCACAGACAAGGGGCCTGGAGGAAGCAAAGAAGCTATATTGTATGCAAGTCTGAATAAAGAGTATAGATAAGGAGGGTAGATAAGGAGCCTAGATAAGGAGCCTAGATAAGGAGCCTAGATAAGTAGCCAAGATAGGGAACCTAAATAAGGAACCTAGCGAAGGAGAGTAGATAAGTAGTCTAGATTTGGAACCTCGATAAGAAGCCTAGATAAGGAGCGTAGATAAGTAGCCTAGATAGGGAACCAAGATAAGGAACCTAGATAAGGAGCCGGGATAAGTAGCCTAGATAAGGAGCCTAGATGAGATGCCTAAATAAGTAGCCTAGATGAAGAGCCTAGATAAGGAGTCTGAATATGGAGCCTAGATAAGGAGCCTAGATAAGCAGCTTAGATAGGGAATCTAGATAAGGAGCATAGATAAGGTGCGTAAATAAGTTGCATAGATAAGTAGCCTAGATAAAGAGCCTAGTAAAGGAGTCTTGATAAGGAGCCTAGACAAGATGCGTAGTTTAGGGGCCTATATAAGGAGTCTATATAAGGAACCTAGATAAGGAGTCTAGACGAGGAGTCTAGACGAGGAGTCTAGACGAGGAGTCTAGACGAGGAGTCTAGACGAGGAGTCTAGGTACATAAGGAAAACCAGTTTGAGAGTTCCATGTTTAAGTTTTATTTTTTCTGTGTTCTTGTCAGTCATATATTATAATGAAGAATAACATAAAATATCAATAAAAGTTCTACAATAATTATAATATAACTTAAAGTGTAGCTGTAGTTGTCTCATCAAGAGTTGTGCCATGAGACTGGTAAAGTGCTCTTGATCCGAGGAAGTTAAAGTATTCTTTCATTCATCAGATACAACATGATTATTTCTCGTTCTCCAGGTGGTTTATAACCCTTGCGGGTTTAACACTTCCCTACAAATATAATAATAGTTACACTAGTAATAACAATGTATCCCTAATAATATTGAAGTGATGGTACTTGATGTGTAGTGTCTCCTCTTGGCTAGTAGTGTCTCTCCTCAGGTCTCAGCTTAACTAGCTGCTCACTAGCTTCCCATAACTTCTTAGCCAGTCCAGCGTCCTTGGCCGCAGCAGAGACCTTAGTGTCCTGATTAAGAAAGAAAAATAGCCATATAAAGCGTAGGTAAATCTCAATAGTGATTAAAAAGACAGAGGGATATCAGTGGTTTCTTATTCTAATCTCTTTTATCGTCCTCTATTTTTCCCACCAGGAATGCCACTCTCTCAGCCTGAGAACAATTCTGGAAATCCTCCATCTAATATAAAATACAATGTTAAAACATAATGTACTGAAAACTGTAGTTTATTCTTTATGTCAAACAAAATTTACTGTTGAGATAAGATAATAATTTGTAATTCACACTGTTGAACAATATCACTTGAACATCTACTTTGATAATGACAGTAGATAACAAAAACAAATATATGGTAAATTAAAAGCATCCCAAACAAAGTAACAGTTTTAGTTAAATACGTTTTGCCTCTGTGATGCTTTATAAACAATTTAGAGTCTGAATATTATATAAGTGACCGTAGAAGTCAAGACACATCAGGTGAGGGGCGATGTGGGATCTGGCAGAATATTTTGCTTCCTTTGTTAATTTTGGATAATGTGTATAATGGGCTTTGTCGCTTCTTAAGGAAGGTTCCTTGATGCTGAGGAGAGGACACACTAGTTTAGAAATGCTAGTCTTTATAAAACGGGGAAAACACAACTAATGTACCAAAGAAAAATGACAACTCTGAATTTTGAGTTAACACAATATTAACTTTTGTCTCTCGCAAAACAGATAAGGTTGATTATTTATATTAGTCCCTTAATGGGGCGTGACCTGATGCTGGCTAATGGCCTTTGATCGAGAGAATTGAAATTAATATCAACCATATTATATCACATTTCCAGGAAATGTATGACCCTGGAGCCTTGCTATGGTGCAAGAGTCTCTGGCCAAACGGAAATATAAACACATATGCAGTATAATGTGATCCTTTATTGACAACGTTTCACCCACACAGTGGGCTTTTTCAAGTCACACACAGATCTACCTGGGGTGGAAGGTACGGGAGTATTTATAGTCATGGTAGATCTGTGTGTGACTTGAAAAAGCCCACTGTGTGGGTGAAACGTTGTCAATAAAGTATCACATTATACTGCATGTGTTTATATTTCCATTGTGTCGGTATTTTATACCATTTATTTCCATCCTCTGGCCAAACTATGAATCGGGCACAAGAGACTCGCCGATGTTCGTGTTTTTTTTTTTTTTTGCGTCAAAATACCTTTGATTGTTTCCTTTATCAAAGATTGTGTATAAATAATTTCTGATCTGATCTCTCAGACAATATCATTATAGTGTTACCCTCGCTGCCTCCCTATTGCAACACATTCTCATTGTACCAAATGGCGCTCTATGGTAATTTCATAACACTTCAAATATTATAAGCTAGATTTATTTAGATTATAGTTATGATGGATTACGTCAGTCACATAATGCTATAAAAATATATCTTTAAAGACGAATAAACATTTAAAAAACAACAAAATTTGTGTTAATGAGGTAACCGTGATAAACCAAACGGTCAGCAAATGTTAAATATTAATAAAAATTAGACACATGTGCAACATCTGGGTATCTTTATTATAGACGTATCGTCATCCAATGGCTTTATCAATACATATTCAATAACATAATTAGAAAATAGAACTATATACATAAGATGAGGTAATTAATCCCTCAGCCTTGGAGTTAGTGATCTTCACACCAACTCCAATTATATCCTTGACTTTGTATTGATAAAGCCACTGGATTACGAAACGTCTGCAGTGAAGATACCCAGTTGTTGCTCATGTGTCTAATTTTCATCAAGGAGGTCTTGTATACTGTTCATGTACATAAATTTTATAGTCGGGGTTATGAGAGTGGGCCGCTACTTGCAGTGCTCCACCTTCAGTGCAGACTCCACATTTTTTCTTTACTTTGTATACCAAATTTACTTTCTTTAAGGAATGATCCTGTGCTTTCCACGTCTTTCCTCCGATGTCAACTGGGTGTCCATGTGGCAGGTCCTATGAGGTTCATTATAAACCCAAGAGTGGCAACTGAAGTTGTACGACTCC